ACAAATTAAATAATAAAATAAGATAATTCAGACATTTTGGTTCCGTTCCTATGCGGAGGGTTTATGCGCAAAGAAGATTGTGCAGATTCTATTATTCGGGGTAAGATGTTATTCTGATATTTGGGTGAACTCGAAAAATCTGGAATTTTCAGTGAATTATTTTCTGCCTGAAGGATCAGAGAATTCTACGGGGTTTCCTCCACATAATATAAATAGATTTTAATTATACTTACGATTTTCCGCCGTTTAGTAGTTAAGATCGCAGTCGCCCATGAGAAAAGTAAGAATACATAATCGATTACTATGTTTTAAAAAAATTCACTTTCATGGACGCAAAATTTATATTTCCACAAGTATTGATGACGATTATTTATTTATAACTGAAAGAGAGAGAGCTCTTGTGAGACGTCGTCGCACAATCTTTTAAGTTTAAAATTCAGAGGATGGACACGTTTATGCGGCAACCTTCAACTGGGCAACCCGGTATGCATCAAAGTATCTCGATGTTGATCCTGCTTGATAAATGCGGGATTGTCCTCGTCGGGTTTCCACTCGTATCGTTACAGCTACACGCTAGATGGCACAATTGATTCTTCGTTAAACGATGACGGGTGTGACGTTCACCCGAAAGGAAAACTGGCCCCTGTTGATTTCTTCCACTTAAAATCGTACTAGTTTCCCTCTTAGGATTCGTGTAGTGTTTGCTTTATCTACAAACGCGACGCTATTGAATCGGCTTCGAGCTGACTTTTTAAGCCGTTGCAAAACACGTTATGCAATGCAATAGGTGGCGGGCGACAGCGACTCGGTGCGAGTTAAACAATTTATATAACGAGCTTTCTACGCCTGACACAGGCGTATCGGAAACCGACGGTGCGGACAGATGGCTACGCGAATCTTTCGCTTCTCGAGCGATCGATCAATCATGATTATCCATAAAATATGCATTCAATTATGATTAATTTGCACGATCTCATGGCCGTATAAATATATTGAATGTCATTATTACTTATGTCACTGTCGTTATTACATATCATTACTCGCGGAGAAATTCAATGTTCGCAATTAAAAAATTGCGTCAGGTGTGACAAGAAAATTATCTCAGGATTATTATTAAACTGTCTCTCTCGTGGAAAATTTCCGATGTATCCGGTATGCGTAACAAATGTTAAAAATCGTAGCCGCGGGTATCCAGAGAGTCGTGTAATTTCTTCGATACACTGAAAAATTGATTCGCGAAGCACGAATTAAAACATCGAAGGGCAGGGGAAGGAGCTACTGTGGGAGAATTGAAGCAAAACTCGACTAGAGCAATACACACACACACGTGTACATTATTTAAAAACAATGTCGTTTATTTGAATCGCACAAGACATACACCGTATCTGCTATGTTTACAATTAGAGACCCCTGCGAGGAAAGCTCGGCCGAGCCTCCACGAAGCCCACGGCCGGAGTTTACTCGGAGACGCCTGGGTTTTATTTCTCGTATTGCCTTAATGTCGATCCTCGGTTAAAAGTGTCTCAATGCCAGGTTTTCTTGTTTTCAACCCGGTCACATACTGTCGCTAGAAACCGAGCTTCGGATTATTTACCCTGGATCAGAAGATTTCCTAAAAATCCAATTTCCCTGCTACGATATTCACCATCTCCCGCGCATTTCTTTTCTCTTCCGCAAATCGACTCCGGTGGAATCTCTCCCTCTCTCTCTCTCTCTCTCCCTCTCTCTCTCTCTCTCTCTCTCTCTCTCTCTCTCTCTCTCATTTTCTCTCTCTCTCTCTCTCTCTCTCTCTCTCTCTCTTTCTCTCATTCTTTCTCTCTTTCTTTCTCCTTGTTCCTCTCTTTTTCTCTCCCTCTCTCTTGCGCTCGTTCTCTTATGTATAATTATAGGAAATATTTCGTAGCTTTAAATTATGTCGACTGCCTAGATACTTCGCTCGACTATATACTTCTTGACATTCGTTCTGGGATTATCTTTTACCATTTTTACGTGATTTACCCTGTGTAGAAACGTTAGAAACCGACCGGGGGGACACGACGGGACAGGATTATCTAGTTTTATCTGTGTATCGGTCGATCGAGATAGCGAGGGGATAGTGCGTGATATACCGTGATTCGGACACGGGCAAACGCTGACATACCGTGATCAACGTGAATCCACCGTGAGTGGCTTTCCACGTTGGATTCGCATTACCCATTTATCGTGACATCGCAGCGTTTATCGCGTCTCCTTAGCGCGAGGATATTCTTCCGCGTCCGCGCATAAATTCGTCATCCTCGTCGTATCCCGCCGGTCCGATCGCCCGCCGCGAGATTTGCATGTGTGACTCCTTTGTTTCGGTGAGGCAGGGAACTTGGTCCTATGTGGGATGAATTCGAAAAGGGTAATAAACTTGTGTGTACGTGTGTATGCACGTATGTGTGTGTATGCGCGTGTATGTACGTGTGAGAAGAAAAGGAAGAATTCTTTTCGAAACCGAAGTACGCGTTGGACGTGCCGCACGATTTTTATCTCGTCGATTGTACACACACACACACACGCGTGCGCCCGCGCGAGCACGTGCGCGCGCGCGCGCACACACAGTGCTCCGTCGCGCGAAGGGGGTTGCCCTCTCTTTCTCTCGCTCGTCTCCCTCGTGTCTATCCTCCGTTCGCGATCCTCGTGGACGACGAAATACGCCGTTACGCGAGAAAAGGAAATCACCGCGTTGAATCTATTCTTCTCTCTCTCTCTCTCTCTCTCTCTTCTCTCTCTCTCTCTCTCTCTCTCTCTCTCTCTCTCTCTCGTCACTATCGTTGAACAATTCTTCGACGACGCGCGTCTCTCATTTTCTCTCCCTCTTTGTTTTCGGATCATCGCTACGGGCAGTGCCATTATTTACAATATGTAGTCGTATAAACGGAGCCTGGCATGTACGTATTTCAGGAATCGATCTAACAAACTTTTAACTAGATAACGAGAGATTTTTTTATCTAGGGCCGTACACGTCTAACACCGAGAGAACTATCTGATATGAGTTTCTTTATCGCTTTTAATGCTTTTCTCGTTCATACTCTCGCCATTGAATTCACGCAAAACTCGCGCAACACTCATTCCCCAGAACGAGAAGGACCACACGCACAACGAAATCGCAAAAAGGACACGCAATCGTCACACGCACGCCATCGTTTTTCTCGCGTCTCGCGGAGTTACTTCTCTCAATTTTTTTTTTATCTTATTGCCTACGCATATATATATATCTCTCTCTCTTTAGGAACAGTTCCCTTCGAAAACGCTCACGTCGACGAGACGTCGTTGAGGAAAACAAAAGGGAAAGGCTAGAAAGGAAAAAAAACTATTTTGCTACTTAAAAGTGGAACGCAGAAAACTCGAACGACGATCGTCGCGTCGCCCGCGAAAGCCTCAGTCTTGGGCGAGGACGAGGGAAAACGGAAATTCGCCATTCTTCCAGGTTGCGCCTCGGTACGGCCGCGGGACGACTTTCGCAGGATCAACGCTCGGTGTCGATCCTGCGAAAACCGAGCGTGGCCCGATCGGCCGTGACGGCAATAAATATAATCAACGAACAAAGCGCGCTGATGATAGTCTCGTCGTGGCTACGAAGCGACCGTCGAAGACGAGGAGGAATCGTCATGATTGTGGAATTGCTTCCGAGATTGTCCAGGACTGAACGTTTCAATTTGGATCTCGTTCATGATTGCTTTTCACGAAACGTCGCTACGATTCTTTTCTTTCTCTCCCTCTCTCTCTCTCTCTTTCTCTCTCTCTCTCTTTATCTCTCTTTTTTTTTTGGATATTTCTAAGAGCGATTCTTTCATCTCGATGGACGCGTCGTGCCACGTGCGCGATCAGCGAGCCATAAACGTAAACAACTTTGGCATTTTCTTAACCGTTAAAAACATCCGCGATAATAATTTAATATCGGTATAAAATAATGAAAGCGCCGCTTAAACTCACTGCAACCGTAATGATAATAGTGACAATCATAATAATAATAATAATATAATAATAATAATAATATAGAACACTAATAATGCGTGTAATAATAGTAATAATAAGACAATAATAATCATATATTACGAAACAATAATAATATTAATAATAATAATGATAATAAAGACAATAATAAGAGCAATAATAATCTTAATAAAGGTAATAAAGTTGCCTATAATAGATATAGTACATTGTACATAGGATCGAGCTAGAGGTTTAGGTACCAGCTTCTCTTTCGTGTCTTACGTAAATCAATTAATCCCAGCGTATCCTAGGTATTGATATATATATATATATATATATATATATAACAGAATCTCGAGTATCGATGTTTTTAAATATATACACACACGGATCGCCGAAGTCGCCGTTCTCCTTACAAGCTAAGGAAATCGAGACGATTAGAAGGTCGATTAGAAAAGGAAGGAAAAATAAACAAGAAAGAAAATAAAAAGAGGAAAGTGGCGCTCCGGTCGTACCGATACGTTAACACGAAGCGACATCGTGTAATGTACAAAAAGATTCCGCTCCGACTTTTCCCTGTATAATTACATACACGGCGAGTTGCAGGTCTCCATAATATTTATACATATATATTACGTTATACAATATGTATATATATATATATATTTCTATTATTAAATAAATAATCTTCAAATGCGATAATAAAGTCAATATGTTCGTTATTCTTATTTATAATATTTATACTCTCCATATTTGCATTTTTATCTTCATATTTATATATGTATACATATATATATTTATATCTCTTCTCATCTGTATGTATATATATGCAGATTTATATTTATAGTGTCTTTTCCCGTTATATTTATAACTATTTATAGCGATATATAATTTAAATAGCTGTACTGAGACTCGCAAACTGGTAACCATTCGTTCGTTCTCTAATGAGTTAAACACAAAGTTAGGACTTGTGTCGATGTACCTTTTCTCTCTTTTCTCCTCTCTCTCTCTCTCTCTCTCTCTCTCTCTCTCTCTCTCTCTCTCTCTCTCTCTCTCGTCGCTCTCTCTTCGCTCTCTCTCTCTCTCTCTCTCTCTCTCTCTCTATACTTTATCTTCGCATCGCCTGAACGCCGTCTTCGCACGTTCCGTCCAGTCTTCACGAGCGTGCGAGGATCGTCTCTCCCTCAAACGAGACGAAAGCCCAACTCGTTCAACTGGATCTTCCGTCTCCCGTTGCTCCTTTTACAACTCGTCGGACCTCCGGACCGTTTCCAGGTCCTCGGGTCGGACGTCTCGAGATCGCGCATCGACCTACCACCTCTCCTAATCCCGAGAGGTGACCTCGGACATTTCGCGTCGAGAGATCCTGCTGAAGTCGCGCTGTCGGAGTGCACACGTCCCTGACGAGATCAGTCCGGCCACGCGCGACTCAGAGTTGTTCGCCGACACAGAGATCTCCCTTGTTCTCGAGGTCCCTGAGGAGGAAGATCCCCGTCTTTAATACACCGGGTAAGGCGGCCTGTGTGGCCACAGCGGCGGGATCGGCGGTAGGCTTCCGTTCCAGGATCAAGTATCTTTGCTGCTGAGAGAGGAGTCCTCGTCCTTGATCACTGGATACGGTATGTCCAGCTTGGGACCCTGCTGCACCACCACTACGCACTTCCTCATGTGCTTCTCTAGTGTGCTCGGTACCGAGAACGGCATCTCGCAGAAACGGCACTTGTACGTGTCCTTACCGTGCCGACCGTGGGTCTTCATGTGCCTTGTCAGCTTGGAGCTTTGAGCGCACGCGTATGAGCAGAGTTCGCACTTGTAGGGCTTCTCGCCGGTGTGCGATCGCCTGTGCACCGTTAGATTCGAGCAGTTCTTGAATACCTTGCCGCAGTACTCGCAAGTGTCGTTCCGACCGCTTCGCTCTTTCTTCAGCAGCGGGCTCGGCAGGCCTTGAAGCGCCAGGGTTGACGTCGTGGCCTTGGACGCCTTACGGAACTCGTTGTTCTCGAGATAATGCGGACTAGGTAGCCAAAGACCGCCAAAGTCCGGCCCGGAGGATCTGGGAAACCCCTGGCCGGAAAAGATATTCGGTGTGGTGGAGGAGTTAAAATTCGTGGGCGAGAGCGCGCTTTCCTTCTCCTTGTTGTTATTAAGGGAGTTGGCGAGGTTGCACGGCGACTCGGTTTTCAGGAAGCCGCTTCGGTGATTTTCCTGCAGCGCTTGCCGATAAGCTTCCGAGTACTGAGCGATATTGCTCAATCCGAACTTCTCCATCAGATCACCCACCAGACTAGCGGGCTTGTCTACCCGACCTCCGCTCTCCTCACCGCTCTGTCCTTGAGTGGTACTCAGGTCCTCCGGGGTGTTCTCCTCCGCGTCCTCTCGCTCGTTCTTCTGCTCGTTCTCCTCGATCTCGTCCAGGTCCATGTTCTCGTCGCAGCTGGACCCGTCGTCCGGTACCGTCTCGACGCTGCCTTGTGGACTAGCAGCCGAGTTCAAGTGATCTTGGTGCTCCTTTCGCATGTGTTTCCTCAACTCGGTAAAGTTTGCCACCTCGACTTCACACACCTCGCATCTCGCCGGTGTGACGCTTTGGCCGTCCTGCGTGCTTTCCTGCTGTTGTTGCTGTTGCTGCTGCTGTTGTTGCTGTTGCTGCTGCTGCTGCTGATACTGCCGCTCCTTATCCCGGTGACTCCGACGGTGGACGATCAGATTCGACTGGAATCGAAACTTCTTGTCGCAGACTTCGCACGTATACACCGTTTCCGAGGAAGAATCGCTGATGATCGGTGTGGAAGCCACCGGAGGACTAGTCTTCTCGCTATCCGTCGAATTGTTGTTGTTGTGGTGACCCACCGGGCTCTGACTGTAGCAGGGCGGCGAATTCTCCTTCTGATGACTGCCGTGAGTCAAATTCGCAGGATTAGTCGAAGCTGGGCTAGGGGGTTCCACCGACTGGGAATGAGACTGTGATTGTTGCTGTTGCGACTGTGGTTGTTGCTGTTGTTGCGGTGGCGGCGGCGGTGGCTGCTGCTGTTGCTGTGACTGCTGCTGTTGCTGCTGTTGCTGCTGCTGTTGCTGTTGCTGCTGCTGCTGCTGCTGCTGCTGCTGCTGCTGCTGCTGCTGCTGCTGTTGCTGCTGTTGTTGCTGCTGCTGAACACTACTGGCAACCGGGACTGGTGGTACCGGCGGCGGAGGCGGTGGGTTCGTAGTAGGATTACCGCTAGTAGGTGGAGCCGCGCCTAAGGACGGATTAGCGAGGCTCCTTAGGCGCGCCGAGTAAAAATCCAGGTTCGCTTCAAGTGGGGGTGGGTGTGCCTGGCCAGCGAGGCCGCGGCCGTGCGAGAGCTCGGCCAGATTCGCTAGGTTCCGGGCGTTGTTCAAGGAATCCAGCGAGCTGCGCACCAGCGGATCTCCCAAGTTCAAGCCGTCCATACCGCGAAGCGGGTCTCCCAGATTCTGCAAGTTCCGCGTGGCGGTCTGCAGCTCCTGGAGACCTCTGTACCCCGCCAGGGGGTTCAAGGTGAGGAAGTCCGGCCTGAACATAGGCGGGAAACTTCGTTCCAGGTGCTGCGGTAGCCTGAGGAAACTGTGGAGCGGGTCGCCCACCAAAGAAGCCGAGGTCTGCAGTTGTTGCCGACTGCCGCTACTTCCGCTGGTATTGGTGCCACCCGATGAGTTCGCCGCTGAGGAGCTTCCGGTGCTCTTGCCGCTCAGGTTCAGGTGATTCGGCGGGCTGAGGTGGTGCGCGTGCGTCGGCGTAGGCGTCGGTGGACTCGGCGCCGGGGTGTTCGACGAGGAATTCGTCGACGAGGAGGAGGAGCAGTAGAGGCGGGCGCCGTGCATGCTCTGTACATGCTGAAGGAGCTCCCACGCCGAGCACAACCGCCGGGAACACTGCGAGCATTGCAGCCACCTTGGCTCTGAAACAGACACACCGTCGTCGCGGTGGTTAAGGGTCGTAGTCGTCAGCGATGCACTCGAAAAAGTTTCTTTCGGCGTTCAGGGGCTTTTCAAAGTCGTCGCTTTGATCTAATTTGTGGGAGCTCTTTAGTGGGATTCACCTTTAGCGCCTGATCGGAAATTTTATTCGTAATCAAGTTGCTTTGATTCTCAAATTCTTGAGAAGTAAATATTATTATGTCAGAACGATATCTCAAAGTTGTACGCTTGTGCGATTATTTCGAAAATTAAGCTTTATTTTGGGAAGGAAAGCAAGGGAAAAGGGAAGAGGGAAGAAAGCAAGAGGGCGAGAGAGAGAGAGAGAGAGAGAGAGAGAGAGAGAGAGAGAGAGAGAGAAGGAAGGGGAGAGAGATAAGGGGACTTTGACAAGAGCGCGATATAATTCAATGGATTACAATCGCGAGTAAGATGATTATAAGTCTTTAGATGTATCGTAATAATCTGACGACAGGATTTGAGACTTCGCTGTGATTTCATGATTTTACGACGACAGCTCGTAAAACGCGCCTACACACATTTCCCCCCGCGCGTGTGCATGTGTGTGCGCGTATTCTCCCCGAGTCCTGCTATCAATTTTCGAACCACCCTTAATTTCGCGGAATCGGGACGGAGATCGGCCCCGGCCGATTGAATTCGGAATTCAAACGGCGCGTCTGTGTCAAATTGCGGTTCGAGCCGGCGTTGCGGGGGCTTAAAAATAATATCCTCGTGAACGACGGTCGCGACGCGCGGGGGTCGGTTACCACGGCGTGCGGCTGAAACTGACCCTTAACGACTTCTCGACCCTCCTGCCCCATGGCGCGCGCGCGCTCGCGCGAGAGCGAGAAAGAGAAAGAGAGAGAGAGAGAGAGAGAGAGCTTATGACACGGGAGGGACGGGTTTTGAATTTCAATGTTTTTAATCCGGAATATCAGATTTTCGGCCATTTTTCACGCCCCACGTAGCGCGGCTCCGTGTAGACACCCGACGCGACTTCTTCCGGGGCGACTACGTGGGATTTTATTAATTCGCCGTCGCCCCATCCTGAGAGCGCGAGAACGCGAGAGAGGAGAGGCCGTCGAAGGCGGGAAAGAACAGAGAACGGAGAATGCACGCGCCATGTGCTTAAGGGCGACCCTCACTTCGCGAGTGAAAGCACCGCGAAACATTTACGCGCCGAGCATATTCTCCCGCGTCGTAGCGCCGGACGTTAGGGCTCCAAGGGAAGGGCGGCTTGAATTTATGTCTCGACGGATGCCGTGCGGGAAATCTTGAGACATCGATTAATCATTCTTTGTGGAGAATAATTCCGTTTTATGTGTTTTAATTAAGTTAGGCGATTACACGTTACACGCTACACGGCTACGTGTGTGTAATTCTTCGAGTAATCGGTCACCTCTGGGGGAAGATTTCGATAAGATTTCTTGACACCACGTATCGTTTCACATCGCGATGAAACATGTCGATGATAATAATGTACGTGACCACATCACGTGAACATTTTTTATTAGATAAAAATTTCGATCTCGCGTTCCTTTGAAGGATTTCGTCTAAATGAACATTTTTTTTAAATCATATTTCTCGTTAAAGATTTGCAATTTTTCGACTATGGTTTTCTTCAACCGCCACAAACACGTGCGCGCGCGCGCGTGTTATCGGTTGCCCTAGTGTTAAAGAAACTTCCTAACTAACGAACGAGTCGCGGATTCCTTTCTCCTTCAATTCGGCAAGACCGAACTCGACAAGTTCGTGAACGCGAGCGTGCCGCAGTTGGATGAATAAATACGCTCGCAGCGTTGTTCGGGAAGAAACTTCTTAGACGAGATAAATATGAGCGCGCTGTAGCGGGCAGGGGTGCTTCCTCTCTTGTAAGAGATTAAAAAGTTCAGAGTCTCGGTCTCTTCTACCCGTCGTACCTTACTGTCTCGCGGTACTACGGCGACGGGAAGGAAAGTCAGCCGGAGACAAAAGGCTGCAGCAAAATAAAGTGGTCCTAATTAAATGGCCGTTCGCGATAGGGAGAGATCTTTGTTAGGAACGCAGCTTCGGGATCGTCTTAAAGCCGAACAATCGTTGGATTGTGGCGTATTTTTTTGCGATAGATCAGCTTGAAAACACTATTTTGTCGTTGACCGAGGGCAATTTTTTTATTTACTTTATTATCTTTCTTTGACTTCCTCAATATTTGTTTCTCGTCGACAGGATATATTTATATTAATTTTCCTGCTGGATGCTTTCAACATAAAATGTGTGTGTTACATCGATTAAAGGTAATTTTTATCAGCGATTATTTTTAGTGACACATTTATTCCTTTATGATGTAAATGAAATCAAGTGGCAGGGTAGTGCCTCGTGCCAAGTTCAAGCGCAACGAAGTTGCGACGCGAAGAACGACGCGAGACACACCGTGCCTATTACGCGAAACTACGAGTTGAAACGAAGTGAGATATTCATATCTCAGCAATGGCTAAACCGATCGAGGTTTTTTCAGTCCCAATCGATTCGGCCTTAAAAAATAAGAAGAAAAGTGTCCTTGTGCTTTTTGTGTACGTTGTCTCTAAGTGTAGATATTTTAAAATAAAGTCCAAATCACGGAAAATTTCGATTCAGTAAGAAAGTAAGAAAGACTGCAGAGGAGAGAGAATTTGTGCATCTCACTTTTCCGACACCAGAGGCATTACAAGTGTGCTGAAAAAGCAGTGAGTGCGAGTCAGCAAGCGATAGAGAGTAAGAGAGAGAAGAATATTGTTGGAATAAAGGAATGGAAATGTGCGAGAAAGAGAAAGAAAGCGAGAGCGTGCGAGAGAGAGAGAGAGAGAGAGAGAGAGAGAGAGAGAGAGAGAAAGAGAGAGAGAGAGAGAAAGAGAGAAAGAGAGAAGCCAAGATTGTTTGCATTAAATATTTTTTACTGCATTGTTATATTAACTAATTTATTATAATAGCAAGTAAAATAACCATAAAACTCAGTGTTTTAGTAAATAATGAAGACTGTTTCTGAAGTACCGGACTGTGTATCATTGGGAGTTTTCGATACATTTATCTTCAGATTGTAAATCGCTCTCATTTGCAGAGTTGATGTTGAGTAAAGTTTTTCAGTTGATGCTATTGTTTTGTTATATCATTTTTTGTAGAACAGTTTTGTAGAGTTTTATTTATAGTATTCAACAGAAGAATTTATTATTAAAGATATAGGTTTTACTTGTACAAGCTTATTACTTGTATAATGAAAATAATAAATTATATCGCCCAAAGATACACGCTCAGATGCGGTACGATGCACAGTACTAAAAGCTCAAACATTGCCGTTTATATCATTTCTTTTGCAAAGTAGTGTTGTAGAGTTTTATTATAGTTATAAATTTTGCTTGTAAAATTTTATGTTACATATATAACTTGAAAAGAAATAATTTGAAATTTCTAAAAATAACACAATACGTGTTGCGCGTATACTTGGCGCCTCTTTTTACCTTTTTGTTTATAAAGGTAAATTTTATACAACGTTACGGGCTCTTTGAGACGCGTCCCGGCGGGAGAAGGTCACGCGATTTTGAAAACAACATGTTCTTAAGTACGCAACTGCCGCGACCGCTTCCATTATTGTTTACGCCGCGGCGGCGGACGGATCGGCGGATCGCCGCGCGTAATAATTTCCGAATTTTCACGCTCGATCACAGTATACGCGTGCGTGTAACGTGTAATATTCGTGCATGTGTGTGCGTGCGTACGTGTGTATGTGTGTGTGTGCGCGTGACGATCCGGAGCATCTTAAGCAACAGCAGTGTTTCATGGTCTTTAAAGGTAAACTTTTATTGGTTAACTTGGTTAAGTTGAAGAAGCTAATTTGTAGTTTCGAGTCTTTGTACTCTTGATGCGTGGCGCATTTGTCGCTGTAATACTAATGAGGAAACTCGCTTTTTGTTACAGATCTGCTGGAGTTTGCGGCCACGCGATAGCTGCAGTTACCGGGACACAGTTTCGACGGACGCCGATGCCGCATCGGAGGATCCGATTCGGGTCGAGCAGAGTCGGCTTGAAGGTGAGGTTCACTGATCGTTTGTACATTTTTTCTTGATTCATTGCGATCGAAAACCGAGTGATTGGAATAAAAGCCGTTGAATTACGATGGCAAAGGATCAACATTTGTATCTGCGCGCGCGCTTCCGCGAACTGAACTCAACCTAACCTGACTTTTAACTTAACGGTTTAACTAACGAAACTATATTTTTTGTTACAGATCCGCAGCAGAACGCGGCTGACTCTGTCTACTGTGTATCGGTGAGTCAGAGAAGAAAAGACATTTTTATGGTGATGGGTGTTTGCAATATCTCGAGAAAATCAATGCGATTTAATTATACTTTTTTCACACGTTGCTCGAAATAATCAGGAGATCGTGTCTTTCAATGACCGTATTACAGAACATTTAAGACAACAGAATCTTTAAGATGTAATATATATTTCTCTCTTTTATATTTATTCTGAATCATTAGAAGATACAGATAATGCTTCAGTTTACAATAAATGCTTCAGTTACAATAAATGCTTCAGTTTGTTATTATATTGAAATCAAGATATGGAATTATTTGCTGCGATTCAATCAATATAACTCCTGCTTCGAGTAATGTGTAATGTGAAAATTTGATCAGAATTGCGCCATCGCACGTGAAATTCACCATTATTTATCTTATTTGGCTTGATAAATTTTATGTCTGTCGAGTTTATCAATTTTCTACGCGTACATTCTATAGTTTTTACGCGTGTCAGAGGCGATAATATTTCATTTGAAATTACCGATAAATTCGGTACGCGCGTTTATTTACATTACAACTTAGTCCTTACGAAACAGGACATGCGTTTCTTTCGAATTACCATTGGCGAAACAAAATATTTTCATTTTTTCTCTCTTGTCTAAACGTCGTAATTTTCATTCGCGATTGATTCTACGCGAATCGCGTCTCACGTATACATTTTCGGAATGATGCAA